CAGTACATATGCAAAAGAGGCCTCGGATCACATGCTTATCACATGTTTATCAACCCCAGTTACACCCGGGTTTTTCCTGTTAGCAGTGAAACAGTTTGGTATATCTAGATACAAACCTCTCTGCAACTGGTCAAGATCTGGGTCATGGTAAGATGCCAATAAAAACAGGGGGGAAACCAGCAGTCAGCAAGATATGATGTCTTGTGAAGTTGGTCCTGTGCACATTTTTGATGTCTGCAAGGAATATGTAAGGACTCAATTTGAAGTCTTGAGTCCTTGTTTACATATTAAAAAATTCCTCTTAAGCACATATGAGGATTGATAAAAAAAATGTACATTTAAATTACCCCGCTACCAATTTCTTCACATCTTCCTCCTCCTTTTCTATTACACTCAATGCCATATGTTTGTCTATTTATTTTTAAAATAATATATTATTCAATAGTTTAAAAAAATAAAGTGTTAAGAGGTCATTTAATAAAAATTGCCTGAAGATACCATAAGTTTGAAACCAAGGTAGCAGATTCAACTGATCTCTTGATTTTTAAAGTTAGAAGCTCTACATGTTATTTTTACTTTTATTTTATTTTTTTCTCACGTGTACTGAGCACTCTTTAATACTACTGCTTCCTGGTATGATTCAACTCTGACCATTAACCTTATATATATATATATATATATATATATATATATATATATATATATATATATATATATATATATATATGTATAAGGTTATATATATATATAATATATATATATATATATATATATATTTCTAAAATGTAGTAAATAAAAAACCTGAACCTTTCCATGCCCACAGTTTCACCTATACATCATCAGGACTCTTACTGTATGACGATTTACAGAAGAAACCATGGTAGCAGAAAGGTTTGGAATTTTACTACCTAACGATCCATAAAAGAAACTGTTTTAGTGGAAAGGTTTGAAATTTTTACTTACTGGATTTTAGAAAAGTTTAATTCACTTTATTTTCTATTTTTTGAAAATACAATGAGTGCTTTTCTGTGCAACTGTTTTATTTTAAATAGCAAGTAATTAGCTTGCTGTTTTTGTTGTATTTTGTCACAAATATACATCTCAATAGATAACTAGATAAACAGATAGATACCATTAGTAAGAAAGAAGTTCCATTCAGACATCTTCTTCCCATTATTTTGTGGAACAGATTCTTGAGCAGATACTTTCCTGATCACTATGATCTTAGACCCTTCAAATCCAGGATAAACTGTTATCTATCCTACATATCCTCATAATCTGCACTTATTACTTCCTCCTTTTGCCCTTCAACAATTGAGTGTCTCTTGGGCCTTGTATTGAGAAAAAAATAGTACAAAAAATAGATACATAGATACATAGACATCAAGATTGCATCAGATATTGTTACAATGTGACAGAAAACTAAACAGTACTGGTGATATTGGGAGGTACTGCTGGGGTGATTTGTGTTACTGTTAATGAAGCCATGCCCTTGAAATCATGCCTGAACATAGAATAAGCATATGAGGAGACTTTTATTGGAAATCACACTACTGTTGCTACAACAGTTGTACACACACATATATATATATATATATATATATATATATATATATATATATATATATATATATATATGCGTGTGTATGATTAATATAAATAAAACTTATTACTTAGTTGATTGATATTTTATTAAGCACCTTGTTCTGTCCACTCGTCAGGAGATTTCAGCAGAAAAATTACTAAATGATTTGTTTATCAAACTCCAATCAGCTAAGTGACAAATTTTATTTGTATTAATCTTATTAATGCTCTATCTCTGATATTGAACACTTTAGTGCAAAGCCAGCTTGCTCTAAATACCCTTTCTTTTAGACTTCGACTGACTGACACCATTAATAGTTTTACAATATCTTTGTCATTACTATATATATATATATATATATATATAGAGAGAGAGAGAGAGAGAGAGAAGTCTCCCATCGTATTCCATGTATGAGGCTCAAGCAGCTCAGTTCCTAGGAACCAACAGCCCAGACACCAGCATTTATGATTTGATTATATTGGTGAAGGCTTTGCGCAGAACCAACCACACTTTTTGAAGGGTCAAATACAGAGACTAGGTGCACTACATGCCACAAGGTTCCCAAATGACCCTCCACAGGTTTTGAGTTCAGAGTTGTCATTCTTCTAGACCAGTTGCCATCCAAGGCTAACCCAGTCTGTCCTGCTATTTACCCATAGCTGGATGGAGAAGAAGAGGATTAATACCTTTCCCAAGGGTATTAGCACTTAAGTGAATGTAATGGATTCGACTGGAATTCAAACTCGGCTCTCAATTCCTCAATCCAAGCTGTTATCCATTATTCCATCATGCTATATGAGTGAAAAATATTTTATAAATAATAACAGATAACACTTAATCAAAAATGATTTTAAAGATACCAAATACAATACAAAACAATAATGAAAACACTCAATGATATATATATATATATAT